ACCTTCTTCTGATCTGGAAAAAATACTTTGCTACTCTTTAAAAAGCCCTCAACAATTAGACATCTGATAGAGGAAAACAGTTTCTGTTCAGCAGAGCAGCCAGGCAAAGAGTCAGAGGTCTGCTGACCCAAGTATTCCTTTGACCTTAACTGCTATTGACTTCATGAATTTCTTTACAAATAAAATTAACCATTAGGGGAAAATTCTTCTGGGTTCTGGGCTGGGATCAATACTATTGACAGCACATGCTTCCCTTAGACAATGTTAGTAGAAATAACTGCAAAAACTTTCATTGCTATGTTGATAAAACTCAGTTTCTCATGAAGGCAGGAGATACAAATCAATTACTGAACCTTCAGATGTGCCTAATAGACATGTAAGCCTTGATGGTACTACCTTGGCCTCTAATAACACTGCAAGGAATCTTTGATATATTCACTTATTCTTTCATATATCCTTCAGTGTGCATATTAAAGGTATTGTTACGTTCCCCTGAGGGGTCTAGGCGGTGAGGGGGAAGTAACGAAAAGTGTCCGGTCAAAAAAGGAGACAGAAGATAGTAGTGATGGGACGTTCTGTATCGAGGCTTCGGAGCGTGTGTCGAGTAATGGAGGGGGCGTTTCCGCGAAGCGCGTATCGAGGCTTGCTTCATTTATGGGAGGAGCTGAAAATGATGACGTCCGAAGCCTCGCTGCCCGGCTGTACCACGTGACTGGTTCATGAAGTGGTTCGAACTTTGCCGCGAGATATGACAGCGATATAAACCCCTCAGACTTCATTCAAAAATGTGGGTGTTTGATGGAGAGTGCGGTTAGTGAGAGTTTGGAGACCGTTTGGAGGTTTATGAGAGTGAGGAGAGAAAGTCAGGAGAGAATGGAGCCAGCTAAGAAGAGGAGGATGTCCTCCCCTGTGTGGGAACATTTTGATCTTATTCCTCCCAACAAGGTATGTAAATTTCTACAGAAGATGTATTTCATGATACTGATGGTGCAATACAATTTATGTTGAGCTGTCTTGACTTTTGTACAAGGTGAAGTGTTTGCTATGTGCCAGGGAGCTGGGATATAACAACAACACCTCATCCATGCTTAGGCACTACAGAGCTTTGCATGAGAATAAGGGGAACACCGATTGTGGAGCAAGACCAGGTGAGCCATCAAATGCAATGATAATATAGCATGCAGTAATGTTACTAAATGATATAACAATATTATACAACTGTTATAAGTTACGTGTGTGATATTTATATTTGTGCTTTGTCTTTATTGTCTTTCCTCAGGAGAACAATCTCAAATAGATGAAGACCTGGTACAGCATGGTGATTGAGGACTCCCAGCCATTTAGCATTGTGGAGGACAAAGGATTTCAAAAGATTTGTTAAATCATTAAATCCTAGCTATGTTCTCCCCACTAAAAAGGTCGATAAAAGCAGTGAAAATTTAGTTTTTACAGAATAAAATGTGAACAGGCAGGACTGAGCTCAGTGTGTAGCTGTCCATACCTCAACGTTACAAAAGCACAACTACTACTGTCCACACCCCAACCACACCACCTCACAGTAAAGGATCATTTCCATTTTAAGCATTTCCAAATAATCATTTTCCCATACTGCCATATAAATATACACAGTATACTGCCATCACTACAATATACATGTTTTACACACTCCTTTTGTTGTTGACATTTACAGGCTGTGTGCATAATGCCACACTCTTCAAATTCATGCCAGCTATTATTTTTACGTCCAGTAGGTGTCCTCTAGAGCAAATGAAGCTTCATGAAGCTTCGCGTTGGGGTGAACCAATTGGATGAAAAGCTTCAGTGCTTCATGGGGCTTCATCTGCCCATCACTAGTTGCCAGGTTAAATAAACGTTTTATTAAAGTAGCTCAACTAAAAGAGACGGACAAGCCGCTATCACCATTTAAGAAAACAAACAAAACTCAGGCGTTGCTCAATAAAGTAAAACGTAAGCCAAAAAGGAAGAGCAGCTCACTAACTGCAAATACACCAAACACTCAGCTCACTAGCTGTAACCACACAAACATACTGCTCACTAGCTGCAACCACACTAATGGCACTCTGGCCCAGAGCTCACCTTTCCCTGGGCTTAAATCTCCTTGATTACTGAC